GGAATTGTGGGTGGTTAAGAATAGAGGCATATTCAGCCAGGCAAGGAGAAGACTTACAGCAAGGCATGATAACTATTCTCAAATACCAGAGAGTCTGCCATGTGGAAATGGAATTGACCCTGAGGGTTCAGTTAGGTCCAGGTTACAGAGGAGAATATTTGAGCTTCAGTACAGGCAGCAACTTTTTAACTATCAGAGTCATTCCAAAATGGAATGACCTACATTATAGAATATTCAAGGCTTCATCACCAGAAATTTAAGCAGGGAATTGTCAAGAGGTAGGTAGCTCTGAGATTTTTTACTCTGAGATTTTTACTCTGAGATTTTAAACTCTGAGATTTCACGATTAAAGTCTTTGCTACTAATTCTGGAATCAAGTTGCCAGTTCATGCATCATAACCAGAATGACTGGAATCCCACGTTTTTATTTAGTTTCTTTTTTTTTTTTTAAGATACCGGTGCTAGCCCAAGAAAACAAGGGTTACCGTAGAGACATATATGGTAGATATGGATCTCAGAAGAATGCAGGGAGTGGGACAGACACAACAGGCTTGTTGGAAACTAACAGGAACTGAGGCAGCATTTGCTATCTTCCTCTCAGAGGTTGCTTGATCTCTTTCTTTCTTGTGATAGCTCTGCTTTTCTCAGCATCCATTCTTACAACTGACTGGCTTCATGTAACTTTACTCATTCATCATTTGTTTTCTGGTAGTTTCAGCTTGCTGTCCTAGTCTTGAGTCTACTCTATGACCTTAGAGTTTGAATTCTCCCACCTAGATGTTTCCGTTTTTCATTCTCCCAGTTTTAGTTTTGTGAGAGGAACAATTGGGCCAACTTTTTGTTTCAAGCCAGGTCACTGGCCACAGTATTGACGGGCTTTCCTTGGGTCAGATGGCTTCCACCACCGATCCAATATTTAGGACTGGGGAATTTTTTTTTATGTGAGAAGGAAAGTTTTTACCAGAAGTAGATCTGACATTCTGAAGTTACTGATATTTTTAGTATCCCCAATGAAAGATAGAGGCTATAGAGTTTACACCTAGAAATTTAGAGATCTACTTCAACTTATTCCCTGTATTAAGAAGAGAGAGTCTATTCGAAAGGTCCTGGTTTGAGACTAATACAAATGTGGGTTTTATTCTTGAATATGTTCTAGGACTTGGCTATTCAAAATGTGGTCCACTGATCAACAGCATCAACATTACCTACGACTCTGATAGAAATCTGAATCTCACACCCTATCCCAGACCTATCAAATAAGAATCTACAGTTTAATAAGATTTCCAGGTGATTTGAATTCACGTTAAAGTTTGAGCAGTGTTGCCCTAGAATGAATTTGTTTGGTTTAGGCCTTCTAAAAGTTACTGAAGACTTTTTTTTTTTGAGTTGGAGTCTCACTCTGTTGCCCAGACTTGAGTGCAGTGGCCGCTCGCGGCCACCGCAGCCTCGACCTGCTGGGCTCCGGCGATCCTGCCGCCTCAGCCTTCCGAGTAGCCAGAATTACAGGCATGCGCTACCACACCCGGCTGATTTTTTTATTTATTTTTTGATGAGGGCTTGCCAAGTTACCCAGGCGGGTCTCGAACCCGCGGGCTCAGGCAATCCACTCACCTCAGCCTCCCAAAGGCGCCCGGGATTACAGACTGAGCCACCGAACCTGGCAGTTACAAGACTTTTACTAGAAAACTTCTTCTTTTTTTTGAGTTGGAGTCTCACTTTGTCACCCAGACTGGAGTGCAGTGGCTGCTCCCAGCCACCGCACCTCGGCCTGCTGGGCTCCGGCGATCCTTCTGCCTCAGCCTTCCAAGTAGCTGGAACCACAGGCGCGCGCTACCACGTCCGGCTCATTTTCATTTATTGTAGAGATGAGGTCTCCCCGAGTTGTCCAGGCGGGTCTCGAACCCGCGGGCTCAGGTAATCCAGTCACCTCAGCCTCCCAAAGGCACAGGATTACAGGCTGAGCCACCGAGCCCGGCTTAGAAAACTTCTTGTAGTATGTTGTAGACATATGATGACCAAATGATAAATTTTCAGAAATTTTGTGTTGGTTGATTTTATGTTTGGTGGCTTGAAATTAGCTGTTGTGTGAGTATTTTCACCATGGAAATTGAAAAATGGCACAAATTCATTTCTGTTTAACTAGTTGTTAAACTTTTACCAGCACACCACTGGACAGCTCTAAATCTCCTAAATCAATCTGGAATTAGACAAAACTCCTGGGGGCTTTTGTGCAGAGAAGCTGCCATATATGAAGCAAGACAAAATGAGTTCCAGTCTGTCACTCATTGAACTTTCAACCTTGTAATGAAACCCCTCCCATTGTTCTAGATAGTTATTTCCTTATGAAAACCAATTTGATTCTGAAATAAGCAAAAGGGGAAAAGGGAATATAGGGGTTGGTAATACTTAAAATCCAGATAGGCAGACAGATAAGCATTGGAAATTTTCTCAGCTGACAGCTAGACAATTTTGGAGTTGAAACCCAGGAATAGAATAGCAGTTTCTTTGTAGAAGAGAAGATAAGAGTGGTTAGATTCTGGTTCCAGAGACATATCCATGAAGAACTTTTATAGCCTATATTAAATAAAAAAATTAGATGGGCGTGATGGCACAGGCCTTTGGCTTCAGCTACTTGGAAGCCTGAAGCGGAAGGATCACTTGAACCCAACAAATCAAGGCCGATGGCTGTGAGCTTGTCAATGCACTCCAGCCTGGGCGAAAGAGTGAGACTCCAACTAAAAAAAAAAAAAAAAAAAGGAAAGTGACATCCTAGCACACATGGGTGCAAGAACAACATGGATCATATTAAGAAATAGATATTGAAAGGAGTGCTAGAACTGCTTATTCGTTTTGCCTTTCTGGCTAAGAGCTCTCACCAGTTCTTTGGTAATAACATTTAGTATTTATTGAATGCTGACTTGGTGCCTAGTACTTTAGTAATCACCTCAGTACATTATCTCAGTATTAGCTTCATATCACAGATGAAAAAACCAAGGCCCAGAGAGGTAAAGAAATTTGCTCCAGGTGACACAACCACTAAGTGATAATACTGGAATTCAAATTCAGGCAGTTTGGCGCTAGTGCACAGCTACCTAACCAACACGCTCTACTGCTTCTCTTCACTGAGAAGAAACTCATTATCTGTTTCTTGGAGTTCCCATTTCAGAGTATAGATTTTCATAGTTTTTATAAAATCTCAAGCTAAAGAATCTATGTTTTGTTATACACATAACTGGACTCTGGATCCCACCTGACTCATGCTATCAAGTTCTGATGTTCAGAGTGTGCAGTCAGGTGAGCTGTACCTGTGTAGGACCTGATTTTAATGAGGCTACTACTGTAAGTAAACTACACGTAACTCTGAGTGCCAGTACTGGGTGTTTACGTTCTCCTGCTAGGTCAGGAAATATAAAAATGACCACAGGGGGAGCCAACTGAGGGAAAGAAAGGGATGTAGAGTCTAAGGACCAGCACCTCTCAGCTAGGTGTCTGTTTTTGTCTGAAATGGGCTGGGTAAACTTGCTCCAATTCTGGCATTTATCCTTAAAGGGAATTCGTTTTCTTCATCTATGTATAGCTGAATATACTGCTTGACACAGGCAGCCACTCAGATATTTGTGGAAAGAAGGGAGGATGAGAAGGACAGAAGAAAAAAAGTTATAAAGGTAGATTCAAGTTCTTTGAATTTGCAAAACAGTCACAAATGGTTGCGCAAAGTAACTGCTTAGATGTTAACAAAACAAAGCCATACAATAGACATCTTATTTTTCATATAGATGAATACTATGCATAAATATGAAATAAAGCATCTGGGAACAACCTAGTTCGATCCAGTTCATCTTTGTGTGGGCAGCTTCATGGAAGCAAGTTAATTTTGTAGACTTGCCATCCTAATTGAGTCGCTAATACATGCATGCATAAATTCATCTACTCAACAAACATTTATTGAGGGCTTCCTATGGGCCTGGTACTGAAGTATGTGCTGAGGTTACAAACATTATAAGACATGATTTCCTCCCATAAAAAGCTCAGACTGGTGGAAAAAACAGATATAATATGGTGATGGCTGAACAACTCTGTAAATACACTAAAAACTACTGAATTGTACCATTTAGACTGATGAATAGTATGGTGATGTGAATTATATATCAACAATGTTTAAAACAAGCAAACAAAAACAGATATAAGTCCTGCGTACTGAACAAAACTAGGAAAAGGTGGCCTTAACTCAGCGTGGGAAGAGATGACGGAGGCTTCATTAGGGAGGAAAGCCTGGGCTAAAATCTTAGGGGAAAAAAAGTTACCCAGGTGATGCGATGCAAGATACTGAGCCCAGGGACAGAACAAGCAAAAGTTTTGGAATCAAGAAGCCACGTGTGTGCATGTGTGTTTGGGGAGGTTGGCACAGGCCAGAAGCGAACTTCAGAGTGGCCATTCAGGTGTTATTTAACCTGGGAAGTGAGGAATCTGTGATCAGATTTGTTCTAGATAAACTACACCTCATGGAAAGGACACTTTTTGTGTGTGTGTCAAAACAATCTGTGCGTAGGTCTCAGATCTGCCATTTTACAACTGGAAGAGTTCTATCAATGTCAGGTATTATTCAAATGCACCAGCGAGGGGGAATGTAGAGAAGAGTAATGTAAGATTTCATGTTGGACTAGGTTGATCTTGTAACGCAAGGGAAGATCGCAAGTTAAACGCAAGTTAAAAGGGAAGTTTGTTAGTGAACGGGACACGCTCTCGGTGGTGGGGAATTGCCTGGAGAATCCCGGCTGTAACGTGGCAGAGAAAACGGTGGAATTCTTCAGGGTGTGTGTTTTTCACTATTTTTAAGCTAGGTCCCCTTTCACAACCTGTTAAAATTATTGTGAGTACACTTGCAGGAACAAAACAAAAAAAAAGGAAGAAGAGGAAGAAAAGAATAAAATAATTACGGCATCGCCAACGATCGTATTTTCCTGAAGGTGGTTAAGCTGTCGTACCGGAACTACGAAACGGAGGGTCCAGGGAAGCACGGAGGACTGACAGTAACACCGCCACGCCAGCAGTGAAGCCCATTTTGGTCCCCGCCCGGTTCCCCTTGCTTCTTCTAACATCTTCCCCCTTCGCCAATTCCGGAACGGAACTCTTTTTTCATTCTTCCCAGTGGAAACGTAGGATTAATTTCCTGAACACAATCCGGAATGGTCAACATGGCGGCTGCCATAAGGTGCCTCAGTAGGGGTAAGGCGCGGGGCTGATTTGCAAGGGAAATGCTTTGGCATGGAATCTTCTGTTACACCAGAGTGCAAGCTGGACTCTTCTAGGCTCGGGTCTGTTCTGGGTGCTCGAAATGCCTCGTCTGTCGGTACTCCAGAGGGTCATTATTACCACTACAGGTTTCTCTCCATTCTGGAGCCGTCCACCCTGAGGGTGGAGTGGGAGGTGCTTCGAAACCCCTTCCGCCCTCTGTGGGTCTGTCAGCGATTGGGTTCTATCTCAGATACTGGTGTGTGGGCTGGATGGGGGGCCGGGGGAGATGGAGTTTGATAAGCGAAGAGAGTTTTGGTAAAAGAAAGGTGGTACATTGAAGTGACTTGCATCTATCTGTATACAGATTTCGAAGTGCCTTCTAAATTACATCGTTACAGGCGATTCCAGTTCTTATACTTCCAGACGGTGTTAACTTGGATTATCTTTTATCATTTAGAGGTTAATTCTGTAGTACTTTTTGGTAGCATCTCTTTTCAGAAGTTAATAAAATTCAGTTTGTTAGCTAGGATGACAGTCATTTTTTGTACAATGCTTTTTTTGTTTTTGCAGCACAAAGATAGAGATATCAGGCAACAGCGCCCCCATTTTACAGAGGAAGAAACTGATCTTATTAGGAATGTGATCAAGTTCATATAACTACTAAGTGACGGGAAGGACTGAAGCTTGCACTTCAGTCAAGTGATTCTTTTTTTTTTTTTTTTTTTTTTTTTAAGCACTGCATCACTATTTTCTCTTTGAACTTTTCAACTTTTCACAGGAAAACTCAGTGTCAAGATAGTGTTTGCTCAAAAGTTAGGGGTGACAGCTGGTCATGGCCTGTAATCCTAGCACTTTGGGAGGCAGAGGCAGGAGAATCGTTTGAGCCCACTAATTCGAGACCAGTCTGGGCATAATAGTGAACTCTTGTCTCTACAAAAGTCAAAAAAAATTGCTGGGTGCTGTGGAAAGCCCTGTAATTCTAGCTTCTTGGGAGACTGAGGTGGAAGGATCACCTGACCCCAGGAGGTGGAGGCTGCTGTGTGCCATGATCCTGCCACTGCACTCCAGTCTGGATGACAGAGTGAGACTCTGAGTTAAAAAAAAAAAGAAGAGTGACAGATCACAACAAGCCCTGATGACTAGTACGTGAGCAAACCAAAATGTATATTGTTACTGAAAAGAGATTGATGGCATTCTCTTCATGAATGAAATCACATTATATTAGACAAAACCAAAGAAACCAAAAAGTAAAAATGATTCTGTTTTCCTTCTCGTCACATGTTCTTCTCTTGGCTTCCAGGATACCTCACACTTAACATTTATTCCTATTTTACCTGTCCTTCCTTCTCACATTACATAGCTGGTTCCTCCTCCTTTACTCAGTCTCCTTCCTTGGAGTGTCCTGGGAGGCAGGTTTCTATCCTTCATTCTCATCTCCTGTATCTAAATTAAATCCTTTGGTGGTCTCATCCAAATTTTTGTAGGCTTTGCCTATATCTTAATGACTTAATTTTAGATCACATTTATATCTACAGGTAGGACCTCTCCTGAACTTTAAATTCTTTTATTTGTCTTAGTATTCTAGATCTTTACTTGGATAGTTTATCAGCACCTCACAATCGTTGAAAGTCAAATTCATTATCATAGACTGCAGTCTTCTTCATCTCATTTGATGGCAACTCTATCTTACCAACTGCCCATGCCAAACCTCAGAATATCTCTGATTCCTCTCTTTTTCTGATGCTTCACACTAAGCAGTTGGCAAATCATGTTGGCTTTATTCTCAAAATAAATTCAGATTCTTCTTACTATTCCACTGCAGCTCCCTTGTTCCAAGTTACTGCCATCTCTTACTTGGATTTCTTTATAGTTTACTCTCAATAAGTAGTGAAATTGTTTCTTTAATAACAAATCAAATCATGCTACTCCTTTCCTTGGAACTCTGTAAAGCCTTTCCACTTTTCTAAATTCAGAGTCCTCAGAATAGCCTGTGGCTGTGCTGTTCATTTTTGAGCACTTCAAATGTGGCTAGTTTGAATTGAGTATATTAAATTCACATATTTTGAGAGCTTAATATTTAAAAAGTATATAAAATATCTTAATTTTTTTTACATTGATAATGAAATGATTATTTCGGGGTAATAAAATATTGATATTGATTTCATTGTTTATTTTTAGCTTATTTTATTGTGGTTATTAGAAAATTGCACATGTGGCTCACATTATACTTCTAATGTATAGCATGGGTCTACATTCTTCCACATCATCCGGTGTCTGCCCTCTCTCACCCCCTCTCACGCCCCACCCCCTCCAGCTTACCTCCCTCTCTGATCTCTACCTTCCCCACTCTCTGTTGTAGCCACACTGGCTTCTTCCGTTTTTTCTTAAACACACCAAGAACACTCCTTTCTGCCTTGGGATCTTTGGCCTGGAACACTTTTTCTGGATATTTGCCTGGCTAACTTTCCCATTTCTTTCAAGTCTTTGCTCAAATGTCACCTTTTTAATGAAAGCTATGTTAACCACCTTACTTAAGATTGCAAATCACTTTCCCCCACTCAATCTCTTTTATACTGTACTCTTTCCTTCCCCCAATTATTTTTATTAATATTATCTCCCCTAACTGGAATGTAAGCTCCAGAAGCATAGGGATTTTTATCTGTTTTGTTCAGTGATGCATCCCAAATGCTTACAGCAGTGCTAGCACGTTTTGTTGGCACATTTATTGTTGAATGAATTAATGAAATGGTTCATCAGAAAAATGCCCCCATGTGTTGTAATGCATAATATTCAAAATAATTTGAATTTAGTTTTTGCTCTCATTTGTTCAAACTTCTTTCATTCATTCAACAGATATTTATTGAGTCTCCACTTGCCAAACACTGTGCTAGGTGTTAGGGATACAATAGTGAACAAGTTATACACATTTTCTGCCTGTGGTGCTTACCATCTATTGAGGAGCAGACATTAACTGGATAACTTTTTTTTTTTTTGAGTTGAAGTGTCACTCTGTTGTTCAGGCTGGAGTGCAGTGGCATGCTCACGGCCACCGCAGCCTCAACCTGCTGGACTCAGGTGATCCATCTGCCTCAGCCTTCCAAGTAGCTGGAACCACAGGCATACACCACCATGCCCAGCTAATTTTTTGAATTATTAGGTCTCACCAAGTTGCCCAGGCTGGTCTCGAACCTGTGGGCTCAGACAATCCTCTCACCTCAGCCTCCAAAAGTGCTGGGATTACAGGCGTGAGTCACTGTGCCCACTGGATACTTACTTCTTTAATTATAGTTGTTCCAAGTGCTATGAAGGAAGGGTGCAAGATGCTTTAAGAGGTGGACCTCATTTGGAGAGTGGGCCCCTTGTAGTACAAGCTTCCCGGCTAGGTAAGTGTTCTAGGAACCCGTCGGTGTCAGGGTACCAGCTATCCTTGTTGCCAGAGGCTGTGTTTGGCTTTAGTGAATTTTTTTTAGAGATTCTTTCAATGCATTTGCCCATTTTATGATGGGTAATTTATGAGCGCACCTGCCCCACCACACAGAGTGTTCAATAGTTTTTGACCCAAAACAGCATGACCCCCATGCTCCACCCTCCCTATTCACCCACTCTTACATTGAGTGACTTTTTTTCTGTTTTCCTGAATGCAAAAGTCCTCAAAGGGAAATGGTTCGCCAGTGTGGAAGAGATGAAACAAAGAATACCAGAAGCAGTAAAATGCTTCAAAATTGATGAGTTCCAAAACTGTTCAGAGCAGTGGAAAAAGCATCTCGATAGGTGTATTGCACCAAACAGAGAGTACTTTGAAGGTGACTGAGCTGGGCTGGGTGGCTCAGCCTGTAATCCCGTGCCTTGGGAGGCTGAGGTGAGTGAATTGCCTGAGCCTGCGGGTTCGAGACCCGCTTGGGCAACTTGGCAAGTCCTCATCTCTACAATAAATCAAAAAATTAGCCGGGCATGGTTGCTTGCGCCTGTAGTTCCAGCTACTTGGAAGGCTGAGGCGGAAGGGTCACCGGAGCCCAGCAGGTTGAGGCTGCAGCAGCTGGGAGCGGCCACTGCACTCCAGTCTGGGTGATAGAGTGAGACTCCAACTCAAAAAAACAAAAAAAAAAAAAATGAAGGTGACTGAAGTTTAAACATGTAAGAATAAATAGAATTTTTTTATAGATAAATTTCATTTTGGAGGGGGCCACCCTTGTGTATGAGAGACCTAATCTATTCTGAGTCTTCAGGGAAGACTGTTCTAAAGAAATAATGTTTAGGGAGAGTCCCTGTAAGATGACTGGGTTACAATGAATTAGATGTGTGAAGGTGGAGTGGGAAGTGATAGCAGCGAATGTCACAGATGGGAGGAAGTGTATTTATGAAAATTCTAAGGTGGTAAAGAACAGGTTGTGTTCATGTAACTGGAAGGAGGCAAATGTATTTGAAGCATCATGGACATGAGAGAGAGTAGTGTTAGATGATGCTTACTAGATAGGTTAGAAGTAGCTCACGGGATACCTTGGTAAGAATTTCTTTAGTACAAAGAGCCAAGTGGAGCTATTCAAGTGTTTTAAGGACATGATAATATTTTCATTTTTAAAAGAATCCCTCTCACTAATAATAGTTGGAAAAGAAATGGAAAAGGCCAAGACTAGAAGACAGAACAGTTTGGAAGTTGTTTCAGTAATCCAGGTGGTAGATGATGGTGGCCTGAACTATCATGGTTGTAGTGAGAGGGCAAAAACACTAGATTAATAAGATATCCAAGGGAAAGTGAGGATTATAGATCAGGTGAGAAGGCGGTTTAGGGCTGATCCCTGGCAACTCTAACCTTCCACTCTCAATTATAAGTAAGAAAGGAGATGGAGTAGTTTCCATCTCATTGCTAGGAAATGGGAGAGACTTGAGAATGAGTGCAGACTAAGGTGGGCTCATCAGTAGTAGTTCGGGAAGTTCTGAGGGCTGTTTCCTTGAAATAGCAAGTGAGGTTAACTGCTAAGTGTGAGGGGAGA